GCGGGCGCACGGCGCGGCGAGGGGCGGTGGAAGACGACCCGGACGCGCGCGTGAACGGTGCGCGCGCGGACGGTGGACCGGGGCGATCGTCGGGGAGGCGAGCGCGGTGGGAAGATGTCGACCGGCGCGCTCGGGGGTTTAGGGCGACTCGGCGGCGCGACGCGGAGTAGGCATGGTGGCGCGCGACGAGGGCGCGTGCGAGGGAGCGTGCGCGATTTTCGAGCGAGGGCGATCAAGGATCCGATCGAGGGGGCTTTGGAGGTGAGCACGAGCGCTCTTGATGGAGGGTTGGAGTCTCGCGTCGCGGCGTCTCGCGTGGGTGCGGAGGGGACGTCGGTGAGGAAACGGTCCGTGACTCGCGTTTCCGCGATCGATTTCCCGATGAAATCAATTGAGAGTAAGCGAACGTTGAACGTGGGCAACGACTTGTCCTGGACGCGATGGAAGCAAAGCGAAGGAGCGGGGGATCCAGGGGTGCAGCACGACTTTAAGAGAGTCATCTTCATCACGCCAGACAATGGTTTCATCATGGGTCCGCAAAAGACGGTGTATCATCTCGAGGGATGCCCGTGCCCGTCTTGCAACGTGTTTAGGTATCGTGTTCGCAACGGTGTCGACGCGAAGGGCCATCCGATCACGCCGGTGATGATAAGCGCGAGCGAGTTTCACACGCTGAAAGAAATCGGCACTGTGAAGGACATGACGAAAGTGGAACAGCGTCGTCGTGAGCGAATCGGGAGCGCGAACGCGGGGAAGACACCCTGGAACAAAGGTCGTAAACATCGTAAGGAGACAATCGAAAAGATTCGCGCCACGACGCTCAAACATATGAAGGATCCGGAGTACAGAGAGCGTCTGAAGCAGTCGTACACGGGCTCGAACGCCAGACACTCCGAATTCACGCGGGCAAAGATCAAGAGAGCTTCGATGGACCGCGCGAGGTCGAAAAAGATAGCTGAGTTGACGGTTGAGTCAGCTAACGTGTGGGGGCGTAAGAGAGGTAATAACGGGACGACGAGTGCGGGAATATTCATGCGTAGAAGTTCTGCGGTCATGACGGTGAGTTTCGGTGTGAATGGAAGTGCCGACATAGCGCGCATGAAACGGTGCATTAAAGACGAAGAGAAGGAGCGCCAAAAGAATCAGCGAGTGCTGAAGAAGCAAATAATATCTTCTGCCTCAATAAAGCTCAGGGAGATGCGCAAGACCAAGGTGAAGAAGCCGGCCAAGCGCAGCGCGGAGCACCGCCAGAAAATCGCTCGAGCCATCGCGGACAAGTGGCGCGACCCGGAGTACGCGGCCAAGATGCGCAACGTCAATCGCAAACCTCCGGTTAAGAAGTCAAAGACGATCACCAAAGTGGATCCGGCGAAGAAGAAGCTTCTCATCGAGATCAAGGCGATGTACTTCAAGGCTGACGCGGCGGTGAACGCGCTTCGCGCGCGCGTCGCCGCGGGCCAACCCGTCGATCCCGACGTCCTCGCCAGGGCCACGAAGACGCGCAAGCAGTCGCGCTCCATGTACGACGCGGTCAAGCGATCAATCGAAGAGGAGTCCACATCGGTTCCGAGTCCAAAGCCGAGATAAACGCCGCGCGAGCCGCCGCGCGCGCGTTCGGCGCGCACAGCAGTCGCGGGCTCGCCGACCGCCGCGCCGAGATCTCGCTCGCTTTTTTAGGTCAATTCTTTCTTAGCCTTATCAATACCTATGAAGCGCAATCCGCACACGTTCTTCTTTTTATCACAGATCGACGTGGCACATCCACACGGACGCCATTCGCGAGTCCTGACCCCTCACCCCCCCCCCGATGTGGCCAATTTAAACGCGACGGTCGGTCGGACACCTCCCGCGCGCCGACCACGCCCGTGGTGTCCCTATCCACGAGTCATGACTCAGAGACCCGATCCCCGCCGATCGAAGTCGCCGACGACGCCGACGATCCGACGGACTCGCGCGCGCGCCCGACGCGCCCGTCACACGCGTCGCGCGCGCGAACGTTCGCGCGCGTCGCATCGACCGCGTTCTCATCCGCCCCCGAGCGCGCGCGGGGCGTCTCCCGCGCGGTGGGCGACGCACACCGCGCGCCCAAAGCCGCGAGGGCGAATCCACTCGGTCAAGGGATGAAGCGCGGGCGAGACGACGCGCACGCGGGCGGCGCGGTGGCGAAACGGTGCGCGCGACGGTGACGGATGCGAACGCGATCGTGACGTCGATCGAGCGATGCGTCGAGCGCGCGCGAGGGCGAGGGAGGGAGGGAGGGAGAGGACGAGGCGCGGGTGGTGGATGGGCGAGATCGGCGCGTTTCCGTGCCTCGTTCGCGAATCGGCGCCTCGAGGGCGCTCTGGGGATGGATTGAAAGCGCCGAGGAGGGCGAAAACGATGAGAGACTGACCGCGGTGAGCTTTTACCTCGAACAGACCGGGGACGGGGACGAAGGATCAGAGCGAACAGGCGCGAAAGCAAGAGGCGCTGACGTACCTGAAGGAGCTCAAGGAGCGGTTGCGGGACAAGAAACACACGTATGATGAGTTTTTGGAGATCATGAAGGAGTTCAAGGCGCAGAGACTGGACACTGAGGGGGTGATCAAGCGCGTGAAGACGATCTTCGCGGGACACGTCGATTTGATTCTCGGATTTAACCAGTTTTTGCCTCGAGGACACGAGATTCGTCGCGAGGACATGGAGCGAGAGGCTGAGGAGGCGCGCGCCCGGGCGCAGGGCGGGGGCAAGCCGCAGGTTGAATTCGTGCATGCGATCTCGTACGTGAATAAGATCAAGTCGAGATTCGCCAACGACGAACGCGTGTACAAGAATTTCTTGGAGATTTTGAACATGTACAGGAAAAACTTGAAGACGATCTCTCAGGTATACGACGAGGTGGCGCAGCTGTTTCACGCGCATCCGGATCTTTTGGAGGAGTTTACCTACTTCTTACCGGACTCGACGCAACCAGCGGCGGGAAAGAAAGGGCGTGGTGCTCGAGGGGCGATACGCGGACGACGTGGGGCGCCGCCGGAGACCCCGGAGGAGGCGGAGGCTCGTCGAGCCGCGGCGGCGCTCGCAAAGGAGCTCGCCTTCTTCGAAAAGGCCAAGGCAAGATTGCGCAACCGCGACGCTTACAACGAGTTCATCAAGATCTTGAACATCTTCAACCTCGGTATTATCTCAAAGATGGAGATGTCCACGCTCGCATTCGATATTCTCGGCAAGTTCCCCGAGCTCCAGTCAGGTTTCAGCGACTTCGTGGCTCGCTGCGAAGCACTCGATTTCGATCCGTCCATGGCCAAGAAGCCTCCAGAGAAGCTCTCGCCGAAGGATTTGCAGTTGATGAAGGTGGTGCAAGAGCGCGAAAAGTTTGTTTCGAAGCCCATTTCGGAGTTGGATCTCTCAAGCTGTGAGAGATGCGGACCGTCTTACAGACTTTTGCCGAAGAACTTTCCGCCCGCACCTGCATCCACGCGGTCGCAACTGTGCAAGGATGTTCTCAACGACAACTGGGTGGCGGTGACTTCTGGTTCGGAAGATTACTCATTCAAAGCGATGCGCAAGAACCAATATGAGGAGGCGTTGTTCCGCTGCGAGGATGATCGATTCGAGATCGACATGGTTCTTGAGACAACGAGATCTTGCATAGACAGGTTGCAGCAGTACGAGGAGGAGCTCAAGGCGATGCCAGAGGAAGCGCGCGAGAACGCCGTCATGCCAGAGGGCTACCTCGGAGCGGTTAGCATGCGTGCCATCGTCCGGATTTACGGTGAACGCGGCGATGAAATGGGATATCTTGTGAAGACTGCGCCTCAGGCGACCATTCCGGTTGTCTTGAAGCGCCTCAATCAAAAGATGGAAGAGTGGCGCCAGCTCAAATCGGAGATGCTACCGATTTGGGACGACGTGTACCTGAAGAACTACGCCAAGTCGCTCGATCACCAATCCTTCTACTTCAAGCAAATGGATAAGAAGAGCCTCTCTGCCAAGGGTATGAGTCAAGAGATCAAAGAAATCAACGACAAGAAAAAGTCATCTGACGACGTCATCGGCAAGGGCATGCCCCCCATTGACGAGTCTCCCGATCTCACAATCGACTACTCCGACGCCCGCGTGCACGACGACGTTTACGCCGTAATTAAGTTTAGCACTAACGAAATGCTCAGCGTCGACCAAGGTGAGCGTGTTCTTCAGCTTTACCGCAACTTTGTCGAGTCGTTCTTCAACGTCAACCGCACACACGCAGATGACTTCAAGGACAACGCCGCCGAGTCCGCAGCAAACTTTGTTCGAGGAACTGAAGAGGAGGACGTGAAGAAAGCTCAGGAGAATAAAGCAAACGCTTCCGACGATGAAGAGGAGGACGAGGACGATAAGATGCGAGTTTCTAGCGCACGCAAGGCACCCAAAACCGAACCAAAGGTGGAGGAAGAAGCGCCGACGACGAGGAGGGAAGAGGAAGAGGATGATACAGAAGAGAAAGAATTCTCTCAGTGCAAACCCGTGAGTGGGATCACCGATGATGCAGAGGTAACGGCCAACAGCACCGCACTGAAGAGCATGAAGAGGAGCATTTTTTACGCCAACGATGTGATTTATCACATGTTTAGACTTCACTCGCACTTGTACGAGCGTATGTGGACGGCGAGAGAGAGTGCCGCCGCGATGGCCAAGGCGAGCAAACCGGCTAGAAAGCAAGCCGATATTCACGGCGAGTTCCTCAAACTCCTTTTCCATTTACTGAACGGCACCACAGAGTCAGGCAAGTTCGAGGATGACTGTCGGACGCTGTTGGGTTCAAAGTCGTATCTACTCTTCACATTAGACAAGCTCATTTACAAGGTCATCAAGCAAGTGCAGCTCGTCATTCAAGAGGAACCGAGCAGTAAGCTTCTGCACTTGCACGATTATGAATTGGCTCGCGACGCCGCTTTCAACGAAGGGATCTATCGTGCGAACGCGTGTGTGCTGCTCCAGGAGGATCCGTGTTACCGCCTGGCGTCTTCCAACGACGGCAAGAAGCTGTTCATTCGACTCGTTGAGGTGGGTCCTGAGCGACCCGATTTGCCCACCGGTACTATGGATGCGCGATTTGCATCTCATTTGCAGACGTTCCTCACTACTCCCGCGGGTGATGATATTCCAGAGGAAGCTGAACTCGAAGATGAGGACGAACGCACCGGTGTGTACTTAGGCCGATCCAAGGAGCGGGCCGGTTTCACTGACCTGAACTCGGCACTGGAGAACACGACGGTCTCCAATTCCTTAGAGTGCAAAGTTAGCTGCAGTACGAGTAAGGTATCGTACGTGCTCGACACTGAAGACGTCTTGCATCGCGCTAAGAAGAAGAGTAAGACGAACGGTAAGGCACCGAACAAGAGGAAGTCGCTTCAGGAGAAGAACGAAAAGACGCGCTTGGCAAAGTTTCACGAGTGGGTCAAGGCCAAGGCAACCGACGGGGAAGCGGAGCCGATGGAAACAGACGTCAAGTCTTGAACACGCGCAGTGCAACTCTTAGAAAACAGCAGACATTGTTAAAAAGCCATAATTTCATTACTACTCGAGTTGCCATTCACTTCACGCCTTCAATAACATAGGATATGACGCATGAACCCCTCCATCGACGCTCTCCAATCGCTGAACAAGAAGTTCATTCTGCCAGAGCGCTTCTTTTAAGCGACTCGTCACATGTTTCAATGTTTTCTCGCTTTGCTCGAGCTGTGCACAACGGCGTTCAGCTTTGTCGAGCCGCCTCTGCGTTTCGCTTAGTATCTGTTGCGCTTGAGCTAACGGTTCAACCAATGAAGTGTTCTCTTCCCTGATCTCGTTCAACGTCACCGTCTGCTTCATGCACATATCCGATTTTTCATTTAGCTGCTGTTTCAGTCGCTCGATTTCAAGCACTTGTGCATCTGTGAGCTCACTAAAGTAATGTTTGAGATCCTCATACGCATTTGTGTGAGATCTCACGAGTTGATCTATGTAAGCTGCGTATCGCTCTTCCGCGTCTCCAAGTTGGCCGTTTACGCACGATCGCAACGTATCCATTGTTTGTAGCGTCTCTTGTTCCACCTGCTTCACTTGGCTCGATGATATTTGCTCATAAAGCTCTCGAGCCGAGCGTAAATTTGTACCATGTTCTAATTTTAGTTTCCTGACGTGTTCATCATGCTCTCTAAGTGTGCTCCGAAATCGCTCCTCAGTGCTCTCGATCGCTTTGTTGACGGGTAGAATGTGCTGCTGACACTCTTCCCGAAGCCGCAATGCCTCCTCGTCGCACTCCGTTCGAATCTTCGCCTCCATCTCCAGTTGTTCGTGTTTCACCTGTTTGACCTTGTAAGATTGTAAGCGCAACTCCATCGAATACTGCTCTGACATCATCTCCAACTCACGTTGAGTATCACGTAGCTCCACGCGCGTACAGTCGAGCTCACTCTTCGTAATTTCCCAAAACGCATCGATCTTATCGCGTTCCAACTCCATGTAGTTCCTGTGCTCGTTTGCCTTGACTGCCTCGCGTTCCACCGCTTGTATCTTGGCCAACAGATCCGCGCGACTCTCCTGGATCGTCGCATCAGCAGGTGTGCTCGATTTATTTACATTGCTTTTCGTCGTCCCCTTCTTCTCGATTTTACTGGACCTTTTCGACGTCGTCGATGTTTTGGCTTTGGGCGGCATAGCGAGGCAAGCTTTGCGGGTGTTGGTCACGTAGCGTCATGTCAAAATTAGTTACACTTCTACGTATTGGGCGAAGGCGCGATCGACGTATCGCACTCACCAGTATTGCATCCCTGGGTTTGGCACGGTATTCTACTTGATTTCGACGTCAAGTAAATCAACGTACAGTTCAAACGTCGCGCCAGGCGGGATTTCGCCTTCTCCGACGTCCTCAAATCCAACATCCGAGGGAACGATGAACTTACGGCGGCCGCCAACCTGCATACCCGCGAGAGCTTCAGGGACATAAATCAGCGGCGGCGGCTTGGGACCGCTTCCACCGGTGAAAAGACCCCCACCGCCTTCGAGTTGGACCTCGCGCTTCGGTGTCGCGACGGCGGTGACCTCTCTCGTCAACGTCACATTTTCAACCGGAGCATCAGGCCCATTTCGAGAACCACCCTTTTTGACCTTTAAACGAACCTCCGTTCCGACGTCTCCGGTGAGCAGCGCGCCGACCTCTTGGATCGGTTTGTCGACCAGGTCGCCGACGCCGTCGATTTCGAGGATGACGTCGTTCGACTTGATCCCCGCCCGATCCGCCGGTCCGTTGAACACACACTTCACGACGTACAACTCGTTCAAATCGGGATCGATTCGCACCTCCATACCGACACCTATGATGTTCTTCCTCTTTGCCGCCTTGGTGAACTCATTCGGCAGCGTCCCGTACTTGAACTGAAACGGTTCGCTGATCGTTCGGTTCCCACCGAGCGTTCGCGCCTCACGCGTGGTCGACACCGTCAGCCCACGGTATTTACACTCAAAGTGCAGCGTCGCCAGCGCACCCTTCTCGATCGTCTTTCCCTTACCCTCGACGACGTCCGCGTACCGCACGCCTCCGTGCGGCTCGCCTCTAAACTCAAACCCCGCCGTCTCCGCGTCCAGCGCCGCGCCCCCGTTGCTCTCTCGCTTCTTCAGTTCCTTCTTGAACCCGATCGCCTCGGCCTCGGCGGGCGTGAGCGCGAGCGCGAGCGCCAGAGCGGCGGACACGGCGTCGCGTCGTCGCACGCGCGCGATGACGTGGTCATCTTCGCGCGACGCGCGCGCGCGCACGCGACGACGGGTCTCCACGCGCGCGCGATGCCGTGGCGAATCGATCACGCGCGCGGCGATCGGTGCGAGCGACATCTCGCGTCGGTCGACGTCGAGCGCGCGAGCGTGTTCGAATGGCGCGCTCGATGTGCTCTTGGATGAAAAAGTACGCGAGACGCCGCGCGGAGACGAGGGCGAGAGCGCGCGCGCGCGCGCACGGCGACGACGTTGGCGGCGGCGAGGCGGTGCTAAAATACATCCCTAGGATCGACGTCGAAAAAGCGCTTGAGGATGACGACGAGGCTCATGAGCGCGAGCGCGGTGGAGACGGAACCGAGGATGACGAACGTCTTTCGCGGTCCTTCGTGAAGGTCCGTCAGGCGTTTGCGTCCGTCGCTCGGCGGCGGGGAGAACTTCTTGCCAGACGTGAACAAAGGCGCGAGACCGGCGTATCCCATGGCGGCGCCGGCGAAGAATCCCCACAGGTGCCCGACTGAGTTCACGACGTGCGCGCCGTTCTCCGTGGGATACGCCGTGAGGCTCTGTAAACCCACGGCGAAAACGGCGCACTGGAACAGTCTCGTCGTGAACCCCCGGTTATTCCACTCGTTCTCGACGTTCATCGCCGAGTACAGGAGCGTGGCTCCGAAGACGCCGAACAACCCATCGCTCGACGCGACGTGTAACGTCGTCGAATCGAGCGCCATCGACCCCAAACCGCCAACCGCCGCGCTCAACGCGTACACCGCCGTGAAATTCCACCCGCCCAAGATCGCTTCCGCTTCCGCCCCCACCGTGACTAACCCCACGTTCACCAACGCGAAGTGAACCAACCCAAAATCAACCAAGCTCGCCGTGAAGACCCGCCCCCACTGCGACCCCCACACGACGGCGTCGTCGAACAGCGCCAGTCGCGAAAACGTCTCCCCACCGTTCCCGTGTCCGCTCGTATACATCACGAGATCGATCACGAACACCACCGCGTGCGTCGCCGCGATCGCGTACGCCGCGAACGGTTTCGCGCGCGGCGCGTCGTACGTCCCGCCCGTCGCCGCGCCGAACCGCGCGATTCCCTTCACCCGCCCCATCGGCGCCGCTCGCCCCCCCGAGGCGTCCACCTCCGCGGCATCGCTCGCTCGACCTTTTCCATCGCTCGTCGTCGACGCTGGACGCGCTTTCGCGCCCCCGTCGCGGCCGAGCGTCGCGCTGAGCGCGTCCAGCGTCGACGACGATGAATCTCGCGTCTCCGTCGTCGACGCTCTCTCGTCCGCGTCCGC